ACTATCAAAGAAAAAGCTAGCTACATTTTATCACAAGTCTGCATCTCTCTCTCTCATTATTTTCTCTGTTACATTACTTAATACTTATACATGCATATATATACTTACTCTTGCTGGTGCAATATCACTAACTCATAGCTATTAGGTAAGCTATCTGGAGGGAGCTACAACAATTAAAGCTAGCTAGCATCGGCCATAAGAATGGGTGGCGGCGATCAGTAGTGTTTTTAGTAATGGCCACCGGAGCTACTTCCAGGGATGTAAGTGCCTGGATTGGGGCTAGGCAGCACCACTGGAGCTTTGCGATCAAGAGAAGCATTTACATGAACGGTGGTTGGCTCCACACCATGATCCAAACGCCTTGCAGCTACAACTACAATAGGTAATTTGGTAACAATCATAATATTAATCAATAACATAACTACCATCAATTTTGAGATCTTACTCGTGAAGAAGCTCATTGTTCGTTTAAAACACTTTGTTCTTAAAAAAAAAAATGAAAGCTATATATGAAGGTGGTATAATTTAAAGACAAATGGAGAGGAATGTATGTACACATATATATATACATGTGGATATAGAAGAAAAAAAATGCGGTTGACAAACACATGCAGTTGACGATTGCAGCAGCACTGTGCATGTCAATTGTAAATTTGAATGAATTTTCAAACAACACAAAAAGTTGTATTCGATCTGCTGTGTCTTATCCCACGTCATCCTTAGATAAGCACGACGACAATAAGTCTTGATTTAATAGAATTGATGATTTTGCCATATCGAGATTAATTAATGCCAATCCACCCCGCATCTCACGAATGAAATGGGACACCGACTCCCTCTACTTATAAATACTGCGCCATTACAATAAAATTGGTTCAAATATCTCAATAAACTTGCAATGCGTTTTCATTTATGTAGGCATAACACTGTGGCTCACATGGGTTATTACTCCCTGAGCCCGGATATATGTAGGAAGAGGGTTGCTTAAAGTATTTTGATCACCAAACGTAAAATTTTGTCACGACTAATATGAAAATGGATCTTACGAATACACACATACTTGTAAATATTGCTAGAGAATTCTCTTGAAGTGACGCATTGCACCAGATTGAATGAGGTTATAACTTTAAATAGCTAGAGTCGGAATGAAAACAAAAAATTTATGTAGCCAATGCTAAATAATTTGAAAAATACATTGTTGTTGTAATAGTTCCTGTGATTTTCTATTTTCTTAAAATTTCTTTAATATTATTTAAAAGACAATGTGTCTTGTTTTAGCACATTACCAGTCAGAAAAATATGAACAGTATCAAAAGCATACAGGAAAAACAAGTCAGGTAAACCTAAAACAAAAAATTATATTCATTATCCCAAACAGGCTGTCCATAAAACAAAATACATGGCTCTACTTCCTCTTCGGATCGAAGGGAGTAGATTCAAAAGCATCCACTACAGTAGGACTTGGGGTAGGAGGAATTGAAGCCGCAGGAGCAGAAAAGTTAGGAGTACCCTTCAGGTGCGCCTTCACCATCTCGGCAAAGCGAACTTCAGCTTCCAAAGCCTCTGGCCCTTCATCGTATGGGAAGTGCACCCCCACTTTCTTGTCAAAGGCGTCCGGATCCATCGTCTTAGGGCCTGAGCCCTGATTATAGCCAGACCGGAACGCTTTAGCACTAGCCAGGTGTGCCAGACAGGAGTAGCGCCCCTGCATTTGCTTCCCCGCCTTGAAGCAGGTAGTAAGAGCCTCGGTCAGGCGTTGAACTTCGGCCTGAAGAGAATCCACCTTAGCCTCAGAGGCTGACAACTGCCTCTTATACGCATCCTTGGCTTCAGAAACTATCTTCAGATTGGTAAAGGCAGTAACGGCTCTCTTCTCTGCATTGTCAAGATCCTTTTCCAACTTCTTGATGGAGAGGGATTGAGCTTCAGCAGTGGCACAGAGGGCCATGGTGTGGTATAGACTCTGTTTAACAGGGGAGCAAGTATAAGCATAAATAGAAACACAAGCAAGCAAGAGTAACTTAATTCTGAAGGAGCAATGCGAACCTCTATGGCCCGGACTGGGGCGGAGGGGAGTAGTTGCTCCAACCCCATTTGGCTGATGGCTTCCTCGTCCTTTGGGAGCCATATTCCTCGAGCCACCGCCAGTGCAGCTGAAGGGTCTGTAATCACAGAATCCCCTGAGTGCAAGACTGACCTGTCAGCCCTGGTGAAGGAAGGAGTCCAATGAGCCCCAGTCTCAGCTAGAACAAAGGCCCTGACTTCATCTTCAGGTTCGGCCTCTCCAGCCTTTTTCCCTCTGCTTTTAGAAGGGACCTTGCCCTTGCCAGAGGATGAGGGGTTGAGGCGAGATTTCTTCAGTGGTGGTTCCTCAACCTCCACCTCATCCTCAGTTGATCCAATGAAGACCAAGGGTTGGGCATCTTCGGCTTTCTTTTTTAAGGCCTCAGCCCTCCGTATCTCCTCCTCAGTCATGGGGAAACTGTCAAAGGATGGTAGAGACAGATCCATGAGGTCTGCAGCAACGGCACTGGAGGCAATGTCCTTGAGGTTTGAAGAAGTTAGCAGGTCCTCGATAGGCGAGGGGTCACTCCAGACTCGTTCCTCAAGAAAAGAAAGTCTGTTCCTTGCTGCGGAGGATGGGAATGTAGCTGAAAAAACACCAAGAAACTCATAAATACGGTGAAATATTAAGACTTGGCAAGGAAAACAACCAGAACACTTGGTATGAAGGGAGGTTAAATATTTTATACCTAATTTCCCGAATTTGCGCGGGATGGGGAGCGCAATTGATTGGGACACGAACCATTTTCCTTTAACTATAACCATCATTTCTTTCCATTTCTTTTCAGATGAAGGAAGGTTCGTGCATATCCTCTGATGAAAGGGAGAAGTAAAAAAGAAGCGACCAGGCTCGGTCCCATGCTTAGATATATTGTAAGTAAGCAGAAGGTCGGCAAGGGTCAAATCCAGAGCCTCTAATTTCCGGCGCACCAGCAGTGCCGAAAGGATGCGAAAGAAATTAGGATTTACCTGAAGGGGGGCAAGACCTAGCTTATTGAAAACTAAATGATAGAAGGGATGAAGAGGGAATCGGAGGGCGTTAAGGTGCCCTACCGAAAGAAGCAACTCATCGTCCTCAATTCCCTCGCCGGAGGTGAAATCGGCACTCTCGGGATATTCTGCAATTTCTACTCCCTCAGGAATATCAAATTCTTCCATTACCGAAGCAATAGAGAACTTGATGCGGCGAATAGAGATGATTGCTTTCTTCTCTTCATGGGTAAGAACATAATCAGAGCCTGAGGTGGATGTTTCGGTTGGAAGAGGGGAAGTACCTAATGGATTCAACAAAGGGCGATCTGTAGAAACCCTAGGAGGGGGAGCCCTAATGCGAACGGGGGAAGATGAAGGTGTGGATTCAGAATCCCCAAGGTCTACACGTTCGGGAGTAGATGAAGTACTCATAATGAAAGATTGAAGAGAAAGATGCGAAACTAACCTGACAAAGCGATGGAAGCGATGGAATGAAGGACGCAGAGGTGCAGCAAGGGCAAATGTAACTCTTGCAAAATCTTGTGTGACGGAGTAATAATGAAAGACCACGAACCGTTTCTGAAGCAAAGTAAAAAAACCGGTTTCAATTCCCTCTTTAATAGGAGCCGTCACTCAATTAAAAATGGAATTTGGGGCAAAGTGTGGAGGGAAAAAAACTCCCTCTAATAAAAAGCGCACACGTCACCACCACACATATCTACATTCCAATGGCATTTAAGGCCCATTATGCTCAAGCCCAAATTGAGGGTACTTACAGCCCAAGACCATCGTTATTTGTCCTCCAACCTCCATCAAGGCCGAATCAAGAGGTCATCAGCCCAACTTGTTAATATTTAACATCCGGTCCGTTACTCAAGCCCAGCCGGATCAAAATATGTTCAGCCCAGTGATTCAAGAATACACAAGTCCTACCAGTTTAAGGATTTACTGTAGAAGGAAAATTCTGAGATAGGAAGTTCTGTACAAGGCAAGTAATACGTATAGAAAGTTATACAAGGGAAAAGCTCTATTTGTAAAGAAACTCTGTATAGGAAGAATTGGAGGACAAGCAATGCGAGTCATACCTTAATTCAATCACCCTTTTATGTATAAATAGGGGCTCAGACCTCCGATAAAAAGATCAAGCAATTCCACACTTCTCGATACATTGTTCTTATTTATTTTTATTGTTTTTGAGTGAGTTGTTTTATTTTTCTCAATCACTATTGGTTGAGCGAAATTTTGCACCTACAAATTGGATTCTAATTTGCATTAGAAAGTATTAGGGGTGAGCAAATAATACATAAATAAGCGAATCTAATTCGATTCGATCCAATTCAATTAGCACATTATATTTATATGTTAGTGTGATATATTAAAAATAGTTAAAAAAAATTAAATGGTAAATCAACATTACAATGTGTCAATTGACAAGTCATTCATAAGTCAAAGAGTAATAAGGTATTTTTATCTTTTGTCAAAGGTAGTTGAGATGATTGTTTAATTTTACAAACTTAGGGGTATCATTGTCTAAACAGTGTTGCAATTTACACTAATAATAATATCTTGATGAAAAATAAGTCTTAAAAAACATAAAAATAAAAAAGTTAGGGATTCTTTTTTTTAAGCTTAGGGGTCGTATCTCAATTTTTCTCATAGTTTGACTCTAATTTATAATTTATAAGACTAATCAACGACGGCTGCAAAACTGATGGGCTAAGACCACTCATGTTGGGCTGGTTAATTTTTATTTAGTATTTCTATAGGTGCGTGAAACAAATTGGTGTATATTTACAATCATTCCATCGTCCAAATTCTATATATTTATTCATGCCCAAGGATTTGGAAATATTTCTTCAAGTCATTAGGATCACAACAAATTTGAATCCGTTTCACTACTTTTTATCTTTTAAATAGATATCAACAGGGTCGGCCGTAACCCAAGTCGACCGTGGTCCACAAAAATTTGAGGCCCATAGGGGATGAAAAAAAAAAAAATTTAAGTTAGGACAAGTCTTGGTTGCCTTGGGCCTCAAATTTTAGAGGCCGAAAATTTTGAGGCCCAACTGGCATGGAATAAAAAAAATAAATTAATAAAATTAAGTTAGGGAAAGTTTCAGACGACACAATCTGCTTCGACACTCCGCAGGGCGCAGCCTCAGCTATCGCCTCTGGTGACACGATCTGCTTAGTAATAGACACACACACATACTGTCTGTCTCGTATATTCTTATTGTAGATTGATAGTAAATTATTTAACAATTCCTCAGTGGGTGTTCGAAGTTTTTACAAAGTTGAAGACTTGGCTAAAGGGTTTTTGCTTACACAATGAAACAAAGACGACTGAACTCCAAATTTGCACTGAGGAAGGTAAACATTTTTTTTCCCTTTAAGCAATTTGAAAAAAATTGAATCTTTTCCATATAATAATAATCATAAAGCTTCTTTTCTCTTAATCGTCATTTTCTCCGCTAAATTATTATGTGTGATGAATTATTGTGCGTTTGCTGTTGTTTTCTCCTTATTCGTTTTACCTAATTTATCACGTTGGTGTTCAATTCAATTATTATTAATATATACTGCTTGTCCTGACTATGTTGTGTGGTTTGAAATAATCAGTGTAAAGATAGGGGTTGTTTTCTCCTTATTTGTTTTACCTAATTTATCATGTTTGTGTTCAATTCAATTTTATTAATTTATACTGATTGTCCTCACTATGTTATGTGGTTTGCAATAATCAGTGTAAAGAGAGGAGTTGTTTTCTGCTTATTTGTTTTACCTAATTTCTCATGTCTGTGTTCAATTCAATTTTATTAATTTATACTGATTGTCCTCACTATGTTATTTGGTTTGCAATAATCAGTGTAAAGGGAGGAGTAACCACTCTGAAGATCGGATCAGTCAGTTGCCGGATGAAATTCTTATTTGCATCCTCTCTTGCTTGCCAATGAAAGAGGCGGCAAGAACTAGTCTAGTCTCAAGTAGATGGAAAGAGTTGTGGATATACACAACTCGTACTTTTAAGTTATTGTGGAAAGTTCAAAGGAAAGGAAATCGGAAATTTTTAGAGGTGGAGAGGGCTAACTATATAAGTTGGGTGAATCGGGTCTTGAACTCACACAAGGGTGCAACCGTGGATGAATTCAGAATTCAGTTTGATATGGATTCTAGTTTTACATCTGATATTGATAATTGGGTTCACTCTGCAATGGAGAAGAGAGTTCAAAGGCTTGAACATAGTAATATTCCGGAAGGGCCTTACAATTTATCATCTATGCGGTCACTGGATTTTTCAAGAGTTGAATCACTAACTGCAATCCATTTCACGTATGTGGATGTGACTGCAGAATGCCTTGAATGTTTTTTATCAAGCTGTCCATTCCTTGAAGAACTATCTGTCAATAACTCGGCTTGTGTAGTCAATCTCAAAGTTTATGGTCAATCACTCAAGCATTTGAAAATAGCGTACTGTTAGATTTTGGAAGACATTGAGATTTCTGCGAAAAATCTGGTGTCACTTGCATATTTTGGTCATCAAATAAACTTGTGTTTCAAGAGTGCATGCCATCTTTCTAAACTATGCCTGGGGGATCAGTTTTGCAAATTTATGATTTATAGAGATAGGTTTTCCCAGTTTTCAAGCTATATCTCTCAGCTGCAGACACTTGTATTGAAGTTGGATCACGAGGTTTGTATCTAACTTACCTCTCTTTTGTGCCTTCTCTTCTTCTTCAAGGTTTTCTGACACATTTCGTGATTTGGACTCTTCAGGTATTTGATAAATTCCCCAAATTTACCGAATTAAGGAATGTAAAGCATTTGACATTGAAGGTGGATTCATACCATATCAGTAGCTTCCTTCCTTGCATTTCCCTCATAGAGGCAGCTCCTTGTTTTTATAGATTTTCTATCGAGGTTAGTGCTCTTAGTTTCTAGTTTACAATATGTGCTTCATATTCTATCCTAGAATCTAATGTTTTATGATATTTTAGGTGCTTACTAAGTAATGTTAACTTGTAATGGCATTCATACTAGATTGTCTCTCTCTTTTTCTTTTTTCCCTCTAGATATGGATGATTTGCTTCACATAATTTCTGAGACCATATATAAGATTCATATCTTACTAAAATTTATCTAATATCAAAAGAATTTGAGAACAGTGGTGCACTGTGCATCTTGCTTGTTTTCATTGATTTTGTAGCCTAGGCTTAGCATCGGCAATTAGAGGAGGTCTTTATATATATATATATATATATATATATATATATATATATATATATATATATATTTAAATTTGATGAGAAGAAAATATATTCCTACATTGCCTTCCAATTTCTATTATTTTGATGTTCAATGTTAATCTGCATCTCTCTCCCCTTCAAGGAAAGTTTGTGAAAAAATTCTTTATTTCTTTGCCTCGTACCTGTGAATTAATGATTAGCAATGTGTGATGTATAAACTATGTGCTAATATAGAGGCAATAAGCTATACATCTGTTCTTAGTTATACATAAGATGACAGTCCATTGTGGACTAGGCTACTTAAAAGAAGATGTTAACTTTCAGTAGACTAACACTCTTGATTCATTTTGTTTGTGGCTAATAGATTAAGTGCATTGATTTAGGTCGTAGCTTTAACCAGTTTGATCATCATTCCATTTTCATTGTTTGGAATTAAAAGTCAATTTCATTGTTCTAACAAAATTGAATTATAAATCAGACCATTGGTGTGGCAGGTTTTTTATGGGAAGATTGATTGTCCTGACAGCTACCTTTTGCAAGGGAAGGTGGTACAAAGAAGGGCTGAGAAACGTCTGCTCAAATGTCCCAAGGTGGTAGAATTGGTTGGATTTACTGGCCATGAGGTTGATGTTGAGCTCGCCATGTACTTATTTGATAATGTTGTCTCGCTAGAGAAGATAAATATTGATACACGCCAACCAAATTTGTTAGGAACTGAAAATGAGAATGTGGAAGATGAGAGCCGACTAGTGGCGAAAATGTTTGCTATGGGACTGCAATCAAAATTACCTCGAGGGGTTGAACTAATGATACTTTGAAGGAGGGACAGGCCCCTCTTTAACTGTTACAACTTTTAAGATTTTGTATGGTGGAAAAATGATGAGAAGTTGTTATAACTTGTATATCATATGTAATAAAGTATTTGCAAAATCATTTATCATTTAAATAGGTAAGCAACTCGCACACTTTCTGTTCGAAGTGGGACTTGAAACCCTCAGCCTTGATTTCTCGTGTCATCATTGTTATTTTGATAGAAATGTGGAATTTTAATTACTTGTAACTGGAACTGTGTGTACCAAAAGGCCTGTGGTTTTTTGCACTATAGATTTTAAGGAATTGTCACATAGTTCGTCTTAACTCAACACAATGGTGTCTTGGGGAAGAAGAATTTATCATTAAACATCTCCCATGGCTTGGTTCCTTCACAGAGGAGACTAAATAAGAAAAATGAAGAGGAAACAACTTTCTCATGACCACTAAAACAACTCTCTTAGGTGCTGATAAAACTGAAAATTATGCACTGAAAATCTTAAGTACTGAATTTTAAGCGTTTGAAATTTTAAGTGCTGAATGTATTAATTTGAAAACCCGTTTGATAATATTTTACTTTCAAGTACTGAATTTATTAAGATTGTTTATATACAAAAGCTGAAGTCTGAAAGTTGTACAAATTACATTTTTGTCCTCATTAGTACTCATAATAATTTTATATTTATAATATAAAAATATTAATAAAATAACCACATTAATTCACTCAATTAAATATATGAATTTAACAATGAATAATAATGTCAAATAATCATTAAAAAAATAAAATTCTTATCTAGAAATGGAATTATATTATATAAATAATTGATGAAAATTTAAAATATAAGGGTCTGTATGATTTCCTAAGGGCATGTTTGATTTCCTATATAAATAATTATGGTGTTAAATCAATTTAAATAGGTAACCAAAAAGACGTGTTTATAATATAATACATAGCAGAATAATAATAATAATAACAATTATTATTATTATTATTCTCTAAAAAAAAGTAACAACCAACCGAATATATATAGAAGAGTTTTTCAACGAGAGAACTCACTCTATTTCCAGATGCAAAGAGATCGAAAAGAGAATTTTAAAGAAATTGCAAAGAGAAGTCTAGAAGAGAGAGTGTGATTATTTGAGGATAGTGTAGTCATTAAAAAAATAGTTTTAAAACCTAATAGCCTACCGTTTTCTGCGATAAGCGATAAGTAACCCTCTCATCGCTTAAAATTTTAGCCTCTTTTAAGCGATAGTTACCATATTAAGCGGTATCCTAAAATTTTATCAAACACACTTATTTTTAAAAATCACTTACCATCTTCTGCATTCAGCGCTAAAGTAAGAAATCAAACATGCCTTTATTGAATCTTTTTGCTCTAAACGGTGTAATTCACGAGGTTTTTCCCATAACAATTGGTCTCTTCTGCCAATCGAGATTTCCTCGCTAAAAATCCGGTGTCTTTAATGTTTATGATTTTCGCAATTTTTTCATTCTCTGGAATTTTTTTTTTTTTTTGAGGGTATTTTCGTCTTTTCTCATTTTGCGTGCTGGACACCGTGTGGTGTGCCGGGTGTGTCAGAGTGTTGTTTGGAATATTTCCTTGAGTTCAGGATTCTTGACATGTATTGGCTGCCAATTCGGCATTTTTCTATTTTTCGAACCGGGATGTCCTAGGTGGGGCCCGCTACTGGGGTTGTTGTACACCGGGATTATGTCTCGGGTCCATTGCATATCATACATTATTTTATTCTGCACATTTAATTGATTAAATGATTAATGTGTGGTGGTAAAGTGATGGTATATTTGTATTTATTTTATTATTAGTAGGATATTTCTTTTGTGGGACCCACAAGGGGTTATAACTCTTATACCACTCAGATGCTCTCCCCCTCCCTTCCTCACTTTTTCTTTTTCTTTTTCTTTTCTTTAAAATTTTGAGCTTGAATTTATTCCAAACATTTGGGAACTTGATATTGCTGCTTAAGGTAAAGTTGAAGAGCTCGTCAAGATCTACGTTTTGATCGGAGCAAAGTGTCGTTTGACCACCATTTGGAGATTTCGAATTTTAGGGTTCTTGGGTGAATTTGAGGCTTTGCTTGGCATAATCTCCAATTGAGGTAGAGGTCTTCCTAATGCATAAAGTTTTGCCTCTTTATTTGAGTAAATTTCAAATTTCACTGATTTATGCCTAAATTGCAACTTTGTTATGAAATTAAAGAATTGGAAAGGTTTTAATTGTTAAAGTGTGAAGTTGTATGTGTTTACATGTTAAGCTTCCTTGTAAATGATTTTTGTACATATCTTACATGAGATATTGGTGTCTTGTTGTATTGAACTTTCAAAGTATGCCATAATCTTAGTTGTCTATCATTGATACCATGTTGATATTATTCTTGACATAAAGATGAAATTGAAATTTTAAGATTGAAGGCCATTACATAGTATACCATGACATAAACAAGGGATTTAGGGAAATTTGAAAGGAAATTTTGTTTTCAGAAAGTGAAGTTTCTTTCATTGAAGGGAAGTGTTTTTTTTTTAAAATGAACCGGATTTAGCGAGTCCGGAGCTAGCTTGACCTAGAGGGAGCGCGGCCTAGTGTAGGATGTGAAAAAGTTGATACTAAGCCCTTTAACGGTTGCCAAACTTTGGCAGAATTAGAACTGGGGATAATTATCAATCTCGGCTCGGTAAAGTCCGTTAGCGGGTTTTCAAAAAGTGAAAGATGGGTCAGTATAGACCAGGTTTGGGATGGGTGCATCATATTTCATGTCATGCACATCATTTTGTAGAATTATGTTATGTGCTAAGTTTGTTGCCTATAAGTTGTAAATGTTGTATGGACTCCCATTGTATGACCCTTATTCATTTTCATTCCTTTATGTGTTACGTGATTCAAGGGAGTCCAAAACTAATGCCTTAGGCTGTTTCTACTGAGCTTTATGCTCACCCTTTATTTTAACATTTTTCAGGGCATGGAAAAGAAGTGGCGAAAGAAAATGCACCACAAGCTTGACAGGACTAGGAGTTATTTATTTTTGTTGTTTTTCGTGTATGATCCTGTTCTTTTGTATAGTACCATTTTGAAAATGCATTTGTTTTGTGTAAAGCATAGCCATGTTTTGTAACTATAACCTCTTAACAGTATTTAATGTAATTAGTGACTATGTTAACCTTTTGTAACGAATGGGTAAATGATGGTGTAATTTGGGAAGTTGATTAATGTATATGTCCATGGGATGCTATTTATGTTTGCTGTGAATTCGGGATTGATTGCGTATCAGGTTTGGTTCATAACGAGCTTAGTTTTTTGGTGTTTCTAGCTACAAGTAGCAGCATTCAAGGAGCTTGTCGGTCGACTGACAAGGAGAATTAGCCGATCGACAGGGCATTTTTGGGTATTCTAGAGAGTTAACTCTCTAGAAGTGGCATTTCAGCCGGCCTAGTCAGCCGACCAAACCCTATTCTCCAGTCGGCCGAAAGACCATTTTATGGAAGTCCCTAGAGCATGCACATTTGTGCATCGCTTCGGCCGGCCGACCATTTAGGTCAGTCGATCGACATATGCCTGCCAGCCGGTCGATTCTCTTCTTCCTCCCCGCATTGAGTTCCTTCAGTGATGTTTGTGGTTTTTGAGAGTTATTAAGTTATGGATGAGGTTTATGCTTCGTGTTGATATAGGAAATGACGGTTGTACCCATAGTCGACCTCGGGTTCGGATAAGGACCTGGCTAATGGTTTAGACCCACGGGTTTTTAGTGGGCATAGAAAAACACACATCGACGGAATCGACAGTACAACCTGCGAAAGCAAAAGCCGATAGCGGCCCGCCAGCAGACGCCGACTTGTCTCAATTTGTCCATGAAAGGGACGTCTAACTGTGGCGCTTTATTCCGATCCAATCACTTTGTGGGACCAAATGCCGTTTTTTTTTTCTCATACAACAATTCACTTTTTGAATTCTTGACTTTCCTATTACTACTTCCTTGATCGCAATTCCAAGATTCCAACTAAAGGACCAAATGACCCAGTGGTATCTCCCATTCCTTCCCAAAGGCCCGAAGGTCAGGGGTTCGAACCTCATTGGAGGTAGGCTGTGTGCGTAATTACTTTAACTTCAAAAAAAAAAAAAAAAAAAAAAAAAAACTCCAAAATTCCAAAATAAAAAATAAAAATTTACTGTATCCAGTTTTATAAAAATTATTATACTTTTTTTTTTTTTTTAGTTAACAAATTGTGTCACCTATCAAAACGTGACATTGAGTATAAAAGTGTAATACTTTTATATTATATTAATATGGAGTATTATATTGTATTATATATTAGAGAAAGACAATATTATTATTTTATAAATTTAGTCAGCTGGAAATAAAATGTTAGGTGTGTTGTTAATGTAATTTATTCTATTTTTTTTTTGTAGAAATAATTAAGTGGGCTCTTCTTTAATTTATCTTTATGATTCCGGATATCATAAATAAGTGGTCTCTTGTTAATTTAGAATTCGTCTTAGTGATATAGGATATTTCTATAGCAGACAATTAGGTAGGAGTTGACATAAAAATTATTCCAATTTGACTAGCCTTCATTTTAAAACTCAATTTAGATTCCATTCATGCTTGTGACCAGTTCAAAATCTTGAGTTCAAGTTTGAATCTAGCTATTGGAAAAAAAGTAAGACTATTAAGTAACAAGAATGTACTCTAATAACTCAAAGTTACGTAAAAAGTCATATGTAAGTCTCCATAGAAACATATATGTGCTTGCATTTTTGTTCAAGATAAAAATAAATAAATAAAAGAAGAAGAAAAACAAAAATATATATATTAAAAATGTTCTCAACGTGTGAAATTATCAAAAATCCTTAATAAAATTTCATATGAGAAGTACATTCCTACCATGGAATAGGTACTTTGATATGCGCATAAAATTGAAAACTTCATTTTCCTAACAATTCACCCTAGATAATTACGTTAAAGGGTATCAACTCTACTCGAATTTTTCTACATAGGTGGAAATCAAGAAAATGTGTTTTAAATTGGGTGTCAAAAAATAAAATTTTCAATGAATTATTTAACAAGTCAAATAATATAAATATAAAACTATATAAACATAAATTTGTATGACTCAAAGTCTAACAATTGTTAGATTTCAATTCATTTTCTCGGTGAACAGCAAATGAAATGATTCATTTCCAACCACTTAAATACGCGGTGGGATGGCAATTTGACTTGCCCCCGCGGTTACCTGCCCCA